GACCCCCAGCCCCTCCTTCCTCAGACCCAGGATCCAGACCCCCAGCCCCTCCTTCCTCAGACTCGGGGGTCCAGGGTCCCCAGCCCCTCCTTCCTCCAAATATTTTCTCCCAGCTTTTCCTGAGGTTTCAGGGGTGGGCTGCTGGTTTTCTCCCCAACTCCTGCCAGGCCCCCATCTCTCTCCTCTCCTGTGTTCCCCCTCATTTCTCTACCTTGACCCCATGACCTTTTGTCCCACCTCTCTCCATCCATGGGTCCACCCCTGTGGGGAGGTAAGACCCCTCCTGGCTCCGGGAATGGAGATGTGCCCTCCCTGTCCCCCAGGCCTCTGTGCTTTTGAGTCAGACGCAGTGCTGCTGCAGGGCTGGCCCGGGGCCAAGCCTCCCTCCCACCCCCCGAAACTCTCTCAGAGGCTCCTGGGCCTCCAGGCCGCGGTAACCCCCAGGCTCAGCCTCTGGGTCTGGGGGCAGACGGCAGGCAGCTCAGCCCTCTACAAGGTCACGAGGGGATTAGCGCTGAGCTGCCTGAGCCTGGGATCCCAGCTTGGCTCTGGGCCCGCAGGATCCGTCAGCAGCCCTCTTCCAGCACCTGGCCTGGCCCCGCCTCTCCTGCCAGCCTCCAGGGACACTGCCTTCTCCATTCGCCCAGGCTCCCGGACTAGAACCTCACTCACCCCCTCACACTGCATCCAGTTCAAACCAGGCCTGGGGCTTTTGCGTCCTGCCCTTCTGCACCCCAAATCGTAGCCACCTCCTAGTCTGTCCTCCAGAGACCTGACCTTGCCCATCGCCTGTACAGAGCTGTCCGTGGCTCCCACCGACCCCCAAGAGGGAGGCCAGGGCCCACAGCTTGTCAGTTAAGGCCCTCAGGACTGGCTGTATATCCAGCCGGCCACCATCCCTGTGCATAGCAGCCTGCTTCCTGGGCTTTTGTCCCAGCTGTGACCCAACACCTGCACCTTTCCTCTCCATTCCTGCCAAGCCTGTGAGGCCTCTTGAGATTTGCTGGGTCCTTTGAGAGACAGAGGCCGAGACATCCATGGAGCTGGGGAAAGGAGCCCAGGAAAAGAGCCGGGTAGAGAAGACAGGGAGAATGACATGGTGGGGAGATCTGGAGCTGGAAGGACAGAGATGCCATGACAGACCCGAAAGAGGCAGACGGGAAGGTTGCAGAGTGAGATGGTGAGAGGTAGACAGACAAGGTGGTTGAAACAGGAGATAGGGAGCGACACGCCCAGCATTCCAGAGAAGAAGACAGCTCAAGAGATGAAGACAGAGACACAAGAAGGAGAGGGACAGAAATAAGGACGGAGAACGACACGGAGACAGAAAATACTGATACACAGAGACCTTCTGAGATCCCACAACACTTCGACTTGGAGAGATACGAGAACCCAGAGAGAGACTCAGCCAGGCTCGGGGAGAGATGGTTCAAGAGACAGAAACGGACATTATATGAGACAGAGAGACATAAAGAGCCAGAGATCAGACAGACAGACAAAACTATACAGAGACACATGCCAAGAGACTCAGAGGAAGAGAGACGGATGACATAAAGTGACAAGGGAGACAGATCAAGGAAAGAAACAGCCACAGAGAGACGGATGGAAATATGAAGAGGCAGGAGACAGACAAAGCAGAGCAATAAGACAAGAGAGGCACAGAGACCTGGAGAGACAGATCCAGAGACAGAGACAGACAGACGTAGCAAGAGATGGACGCTCGGGGAGTTTGGACAGGCCCAGAGAGAGGGGGAAAGACCCGCAGGAGTAGGCACAGAAACAGAGAGAAGCACAGACAGACCCAGACGGAGACCCTGGGGGACAGAGGCCCAGAGATAACATGGAGTCAGAGATGGTGAGGCCAGTTGCAAGAGACAAGACCCACGGTTCTGAGAGACACCCCCACAGAGACACAGGTCAGAGACAGGGAGGTGCAGGTGAGCCCTGGGAGACAGACTGAGACCCCCAGACCCGCACAGAAGCAGGCAGGGGTGAGAGTGGGGCATGGAGGGCCGGTGTCCCCCTTGTAACCCCTTCTCGCCCGCAGTCTGGTGGCTCTGACAGCTATCGTGTCGCCACCTCGCAGGACAAGAAAGATGACAAGGGCTCGCCCAAGAAGAGCAAGGGCACCAAAGACCGCAGGGACCTGGATGACCTCAAGAAGGAGGTGGCTATGGTAAGCCCCACCCTTTGTGCCCGCACACCCTCCCAGACAGGAGATCCAGGCCGGGGATGGGCCTGAGGCTCTCAGGTCCTGCTCCTCCCCGGAGAGGCTCTCACCGCCTCCCCACAAACTCTCGTTCCCCAGACAGAGCACAAGATGTCCGTGGAAGAGGTCTGCCGGAAGTACAACACAGACTGCGTGCAGGTGCGGCTGGGCCTGAGGGGGGGGGGGCTGGGGGCTGGGGGCCAGGACCCCTGGGTGCCTGGGGTACTCGTGCAGGTGGGGGTGCCAGGGTTGCTCAGGGAGGGTTCTGTGTGAATCCTGTGTCTCCCAGGGTCTGACCCACAGCAAAGCCCAGGAGATCCTGGCCCGGGATGGGCCTAACGCGCTCACACCACCACCCACCACCCCAGAATGGGTCAAGTTCTGCCGCCAGCTCTTCGGGGGCTTCTCAATCCTGCTGTGGATCGGAGCCATCCTCTGCTTCCTGGCCTATGGCATCCAGGCCGGCACAGAGGACGATCCCTCTGGCGACAACGTGAGTGCCCTCCCCCTGGCCCTGCGCAAGGGCCTATGCATTTAGGGGCACGCATCCTACCCTGCCTCTCCCACCCCTCCAGACTTCTCAGAGCCCAGTCTCCAACTCTTTTCCCATCTGACTTTCATCATCACTCGGTGAGGGAACCAGAGAAGGTATGAGGAAAACCGAGGCTCAGAAAAGCCAGGTAACTTGTCTAAGGTCACCCAGCCAGATGCGTGAGCTAAGGTGCTATCCTAAGGCTTTGTGATCTCAGTGGCCTTGGGGACAGGCTCCACCAGGTGGTCATGGCCTGAAAGATACCCCAAAAAGTGAGTACACCCATGGAGAGAGCCAGGCATGCCTACCTGCTGGTCTGTCGTGACCCATCACCCGACACAGGGGACACACAGCGGGGGCCACAGTCTCAATAGACACTGTGCCCATAAACACAGAGCCACACACTGGCTATGTAGAGATCCTCGCACACGCACATGCACGCACACGCGTGCACAGTATGCCTGCAAACACATGTGAAGTCAACACAGTCACGCCTGGACAGAGATTCAAACACACCTGCCTAGTGCAGACACACAGGCACACAGACACACAGACGTAGACTGACAGACACAGGAATAAATGAATAAACAAACAAATAAATAAATAAATAAAACTTAAAAAAAAAGAAGAAAGTGAAACCTACAGGCAGATAGACACAGAGTCTCAGACCTAGGCAGACAGAGAGAGACAGAAAGACAGAGATCTACATACAAAGTCTCAAACACAGCGCCGTGCATTTAAAGCCAGGCATGCAGACAGTCGGACAGACGGACACACTGACCTAAACACCGACAGACACGTGGATGGATAATAGCATACACTCAGACTCTCTAACATAGGCGGAAAGATAGATGGACACGCAAAACAGAGACACGGACTGACCCATAGACTCAAACACACCCATGTGCAGAAAGAGGGTCTCAAACACGGACGGGCCGACAGACACCCGGACCACGCAGCCTGCGGCCAGACGCACAAATACAGACCCTTCCCCCTCCCCCCACTGACTCATCGTTCCCTTCCCGGATTCTGCAAATGTCAAGGCGAGTGGCCCTGGGGTGTGACCCTGTGTCTCCCCACAGCTGTACCTGGGCATCGTGCTGGCAGCCGTGGTCATCATCACCGGCTGCTTCTCCTACTACCAGGAGGCCAAGAGCTCCAAGATCATGGAGTCCTTCAAGAACATGGTTCCCCAGGTGAGTGGAGCCCAGGAAGGGGCCAGCGGGGAGTCGGAATGCGGGGGTGAGGTGTGCCACACAACCCCAGGCAGAGAGCCA